AAGATTGGGCCCAGGAGAGTGTCTGTGCAAATTTTGAAGAAAATCGTAGGGGCCGCCCCATTGGGCCCCAAATTTCAATTGGGTCCCGTGGGCCCCAGGTGGGCCCCATCAAAAAATGTTACTTGGGTTTTTTGTTTAGGAAATTACGCTCTTTCCAATGATGTGCATATTGCCGGGGTTGGTCGCGAAATTAGGGGCAATACTTAGAAAGGGCCTCTTTGGGGCCCTCTTTGGGCCCCTTCCTTTGGAATCCCCGGTAGGTTTCTTCAGCCAGATTGAAGAGGGGGCCCAGGAGAGTGTCTGTGCAAATTTTGAAGAAAATCGTAGGGGCCGCCCCATTGGGCCCCAAATTTCAATTGGGTCCCGTGGGCCCCAGGTGGGCCCCATCGAAAAATGTTACTTGGGTTTTTTGTTTGGGAAATTACGCTCTTTCCAATGATGTGCATATTGCCGGGGTCGGTCGCGAAATTAGGGGCAATACTTAGAAAGGGCCTCTTTGGGGCCCTCTTTGGGCCCCTTCCTTTGGATTCCCCGGTAGGTTTCTTCAGCCAGATTGAAGAGGGGGCCCAGGAGAGTGTCTGTGCATATTTTGAAGAAAATCGTAGGGGCCGCCCCATTGGGCCCCAAATTTCAATTGGGTCCCGTGGGCCCCAGGTGGGCCCCATCAAAAAATGTTACTTGGGTTTTTTGTTTGGGAAATTACGCTCTTTCCAATGATGTGCATATTGCCGGGGTTGGTCGCGAAATTAGGGGCAATACTTAGAAAGGGCCTCTTTGGGGCCCTCTTTGGGCCCCTTCCTTTGGATTCCCCGGTAGGTTTCTTCAGCCAGATTGAAGAGGGGGCCCAGGAGAGTGTCTGTGCAAATTTTGAAGAAAATCGTAGGGGCCGCCCCATTGGGCCCCAAATTTCAATTGGGTCCCGTGGGCCCCAGGTGGGCCCCATCGAAAAATGTTACTTGGGTTTTTTGTTTGGGAAATTACGTTCTTTCCAATGATGTGCATATTGCCGGGGTCGGTCGCGAAATTAGGGGCAATACTTAGAAAGGGCCTCTTTGGGGCCCTCTTTGGGCCCCTTCCTTTGGATTCCCCGGTAGGTTTCTTCAGCCAGATTGAAGAGGGGGCCCAGGAGAGTGTCTGTGCAAATTTTGAAGAAAATCGTAGGGGCCGCCCCATTGGGCCCCAAATTTCAATTGGGTCCCGTGGGCCCCAGGTGGGCCCCATCAAAAAATGTTACTTGGGTTTTTTGTTTGGGAAATTACGCTCTTTCCAATGATGTGCATATTGCCGGGGTCGGTCGCGAAATTAGGGGCAATACTTAGAAAGGGCCTCTTTGGGGCCCTCTTTGGGCCCCTTCCTTTGGATTCCCCGGTAGGTTTCTTCAGCCAGATTGAAGAGGGGGCCCAGGAGAGTGTCTGTGCAAATTTTGAAGAAAATCGTAGGGGCCGCCCCATTGGGCCCCAAATTTCAATAGGGTCCCGTGGGCCCCAGGTGGGCCCCATCGAAAAATGTTACTTGGGTTTTTTGTTTGGAAAATTACGCTCTTTCCAATGATGTGCATATTGCCGGGGTTGGTCGCGAAATTAGGGGCAATACTTAGAAAGGGCCTCTTTGGGGCCCTCTTTGGGCCCCTTCCTTTGGATTCCCCGGTAGGTTTCTTCAGCCAGATTGAAGAGGGGGCCCAGGAGAGTGTCTGTGCAAATTTTGAAGAAAATCGTAGGGGCCGCCCCATTGGGCCCCAAATTTCAATTGGGTCCCGTGGGCCCCAGGTGGGCCCCATCGAAAAAAGTTACTTGGGTTTTTTTGTTTGGGAAATTACGCTCTTTCCAATGATGTGCATATTGCCGGGGTTGGTCGCAAAATTAGGGGCAATACTTAGAAAGGGCCTCTTTGGGGCCCTCTTTGGGCCCCTTCCTTTGGAATCCCCGGTAGGTTTCTTCAGCCAGATTGAAGAGGGGGCCCAGGAGAGTGTCTGTGCAAATTTTGAAGAAAATCGTAGGGGCCGCCCCATTGGGCCCCAAATTTCAATTGGGTCCCGTGGGCCCCAGGTGGGCCCCATCGAAAAATGTTACTTGGGTTTTTTGTTTGGGAAATTACGCTCTTTCCAATGATGTGCATATTGCTGGATTTTGTCGATGTTATAGGCCTGAAATTGTTGAAAACGTTTATTTATGCCCCGAGGGCATACTCCCGGGCCCATATATTTGAAGCTGTTTTGTTCGGTTCAGGGGGGCGCTAGCCCGCTAAATTTGGTACCGTTGCACGTAAAATTTTGTCCTCTTTCGAATGACGTGCATTTTTAGCTGTTTTGACGGCTAGAAGTAGGGTTTCCAAAGTTCGTCGATTGTGCCCTGAGGGCATACTGTTTTTTGGGATTTGTGGCCCCCCTGATGGATTCCCCGCATTTTGGCACTAGGATTTTCGATAGAGGACACCATTCTGCACCTCTCCACCAAAATTCAGCGAAATCGTAGGGGCCGTCGATCCCTGCTGAATCCCTGCTGAACCCCTGCTGAATCCCTGCTAACTTCCGTTACATGGCAGCCTCACTGAACGGGCGAAAGCGACCGTCTTTTGGGAAATTCGACAAATAATGAGCATCACGGTCAAAAGTAATGTTTATTTTTTTTTGATATCAGTGTTTCCTGCATAAAAATCGTTTTCTGCCCAATAGTGGACGAGAAAGCAGGAAATCGGTAGTTACTGATTTGATGAAAGAATACGCAAAAGGAATGGCAGTGTATCCATAAACGTGGTGTGGATTGTGCATTGTGCAAAGACATTGTGGTGAGGCTGAGACTGAGGACTTGCCATTCAAGTCGTAGGTATTGGTATGGGTGGTTGTTCGTGATAATATTGATTTATCGTAAGAAGCATCTAACCTCATTCCGTGCACGTGACATGCAGGTGATCATGGTTGAATTGGATGGTAGGTATCATCCTGTCACGGGCTGATTCTCTTTCGTAAATATCTGATTCTCATTCGTAGACAAACCAGGTGAGAAATGTGATGGAATGGAAACATTTATTTATTTCACAAACACACTCAATAGCATACATTCAAGGCCCGTATACTGGATTCATTCCTTCACGCTTGTTTTAAAACTTGCTGGATAGTTTGACATGGTTTGTCAATACTTCTATCTTGGAAGCACTTCAACTTTGGAAAGTAATGAATGACTGGCATTTTAACTGATCCAATTATGATGATTGCATGGTGAAATTGTGGAGCAACTGCTTCTTATCTGTTTCATTAGTACTTGCAGGATGCTTGCTTGCTGCTTTGGAGATCTGAAAACAGAACAAAGCACAATGTCAAATTTTCAATTAACATGTTTCTTTAGTAAGTTTCCCTTTCAGTCCTGTGATGCCCAGTTGCAGTTGATATTTAGTCAGTGACGGAACAAAAAAAGTGATTATTAGCAGTGAAAAATCTCACAGAACAAATCTTCCAAGTTCAAAAAAATTGAGAAACCGGCCACTTTTCTGACACTGGCGACGCTGCGCAGTCTGTGCTGGCGGTGAGCAGCTGGCCGTGGTGACCGCGCGCGCCCACATGCGCCGACAACCTGTGCGGCTTCGACGGCCCCGGGACAGCCCGATGCCGCCCACTATGCGACGCCGACCGCGCACTGTCTGCACGGCCACATGGAGGTGTGCCCGCGCCTTTTGCCCGCATGCCGCTACCTCGCAGCTGGTCTGCAACCACGCCGTCGCCGCCTGTAGCCCGATAACATAACGGCTGCCTGATAATGCCGCGTGTTCTTTGTGATGTGATAGGGTTGCTAGTTGCTACTGCTGGTCTGAGACTCGATGTTTCCATTCGTCCTTTACATGTTAAGGATTTGATAATGATTAGCTTAGTCCGAGCTTAGGTCGTTTATATCATTTGTTATATGGCATATTTTGGATCAAAACAGTACGACACTGCCTCCTGCTTTTGTGATGTATGCTGGCAAGACGCAGGTTCCGGTCGCAGGTCACCCGGTTCCAATGTGGTCGGGGTGGCATGCGATAATGTGATGTTGTTTTGCTCGTCTCTGTGTTCCACACTTGATAATGTTTGTGAATCTAACCCACATTGTATAGTATTTGTTTGTTTGCGGCCGATGGCCTTGGAAGTTGTAACCGTGGCAATACAGTTTTTCCTGCTATAATTCTCCAATATTCAAGCGTGGGTGGATATCTTTCTGTATTCACGTATTCTCTTCTCCCAGTACAGTCAGAGAATATCAATACAGTATTCATACGGATTATTCAAGCCCTGTATAATTATTTGAGGTGTGCCGAATCCGAAAGGCGACCGATAAAACTACTAGCGGAAAATGTGACATGATGCCATGGGTTTGTGAAAAGTTTGGGTACCACGTAGCATTCAACTTCCTGCATTTCTGTTTCAACTCAGTTTAACGTATTTCAACGAACATAACATCAAAAATGGCAGCCAGTACCGGCTTCACCTGTCACAGAGAACGCTCAAAAAATGGAGTGTAGATGCTGGCAGGCACTCAATTTTTTGAGCGCCAGCTGACTGTCGTCTGTCGTGGCGCTCAATTTATTGAGTATCGCGGTCCCGAACGACAAGTGGCGCTCAAAAAGTTGAGCGTCTTTAGGGCTTTTTCTTTCCAAAAACACCGATATAAATTATCACGGCGAGTGTTCGAGAAGAAACCTTGTTGCTCCCTCTTGCCATTGATACCTTATTTGGATACGATAGTTGCCGTAGTGTGACGCTAAAGGCATTGTAAAATACCATCGTTTCGCCTATTCCTTCATAATGGGGCCCGCTCAATTTTTTGAGCGCTCAATTTTTTGAGCTTTTCCCCCTTGTGCGTGGGACTGATATGGTCATAAACCATATATTGACCTACATTATTGTCTATTCCTTACCTTTAGTATTTTACTTAAGTATTTACCTTAAAAAGGTCATTAGGTACCCTTTTGAGCATTAATACTACACACTTCTGAGTTCTGATGAAGACGAGTTGGCTGCCATGCTTGTTGTTGCCGTAAAATGACGACCACTGTTGTTAGTGACAGTACTACTGTCGGGGTGGTCGTTCACTTCTTTCCCCAGTCTTAAACTTAACCTAAGCTAAACTTAAACTAAACTTAACTTAAAAACATCAACATTTGGTGCTTCAATACCTAGTGTTCCTGGACAGCTTGTTGATTGTTCCACGCCTGAGTCACTTATGCCGCAAAGAAGGCTTTCCAGTCCTAGGTCCCAAGTCCCAACTGATGCTGAACCCGCAGCTTTTGACAGTGACTTCGGGTATATATATATATATAAACGGTTAAGGGAGTTGTTGAGCATGCTGTTACGACTACACCAGCACTCTCTTTGGTAGTTCACCATGTCGAAAGATTTTGAATGTCTATCTTTTATGCCTCCAAAATCAAAATGTGATGCAAGCGGAGCATTGGAGATCCAACAATTTTTCAATTTTGTACTCAACCATCATTTGAATGTGGTTAGTGGTATATACTGCTTTGTCAACATTTGCCACACTTTTAGGATTGCATATTATTGCTTCCAAATGATGTCGTAGGATCAGCTGAGGTCGCTAAATGTAAACAAAAGCAAAAGTCCAAATCTTGAAAACCAATGAATATTTTTTGGTGAAACTTGGCAGACATTGATTTTTCATCCTTCTGAACCATGGCCATGGATAGGACATTGCTTTTATGCCAGTTCATTAACTTTTTTAAGGTAGGAGGGTCCCTATATTTGTTTTAATATTTTGTTTTGTCATCATCACACTGCTCTTTTTCACAGAAATTTACCATCAGCCTACCAGATTGAACAATGGATAGAGAGCTGGAAGTAGAAGTGATTTGTGGGACCTATGAGGAATTTGTGGTCGGCTACCAGCTCTTCACATATTCTGGAGATGACAAGGTATGTCATGGCTATGATGCGTACCAATGATACAGTCATTGTTTTATTAACCCTATTCCTGGCGGGGGGGGGGGGGGCCTCAGGAGCCCCCCCCCCCTGAGGTTTTTTGGTTATTTCTCCCAAACGCGTTGAGCTAGGAAGCTCAAATTTTCTGACTTTTCCTAAAAGGCTTCTACGCAACATGTCTGAAAATTTTGAGTTGATCTGACCTCAGGTCAGGTCACCAGAGGCGGTTTGGTGACCCTACCTCAGAAAAGTTTGCAATCACGCCAGAGCTAGAGTTTTTGACCGATCAATTTCTTCTCTTCAGGCTTTAGTTAGGGTACCAGTATGTGCAATTTGTATATCTCGGAATTTTGATATCGGTGACCTAAGGTCAGGTCAGTTTCGCGACCTCCCCATTATAAGTCAATGGGGGAAAAATCAACTCCCTGTTTTTACCCCTAAAACGGGTCGGAATGGCCCCATATACCATACATGACTTCATATACGATCAACCTTCACTACCTTGAGGTCTGTTTTGCTGTTGGGCAGCTGTGAGGTCATGTGACGTCATCAAAGGTCACCAAAGGCTTTTGGCCAATAACTCCGTACAGGAACAAGATACAGACGCGTGGATGGTCTCATTGTGTTCAGCTCGTCAAGACGCATTGAATGATATACATGATGACCTCGAGGTCACGTGACCTGAGGTCAACCTTTGACCTTGACCTTTCGAGGTCAACATATATATCATTCGATGCGGATTGACGAGAGGATCACGATGATGCCCTTAGTTTGTTCCTATCTTGACTAATTCGAAAGTTATTCGAGAAAAACTCTCCATATCTAGCGCCGCCATTTTGACTTTTTCGACCCCTGTGACGTCATATTTGACCTGACCTGAAAATGACCTTAGTAAAAATTGTAGATCTTGACCATTCGTATCCGATGCCGTTTACCGTTTGTCGCTGCGATGTGTAGTTTTTGAGATCTGAAGGGGGGGCCGAATCGGCCCCCCCCCCCGCCAGTTTCTTGTCCCGGCGGAGCCCGCCAGGAATAGGGTTAATAGACATAATTGGTGACCTTACCCACTTTGTGACACCTAATGATCTAGCGAATATGATAGCCTCTTCCGAGGCCTATATATTTGGTCATACATATAACATACCTACTTCAGTCCATACAACAGATCAATGAACAATATATTTTTCATAGATAACATGAATCTATTACTTTTTATGCCTGTGCAGACACATGATCGTCTTTAAAAACACAGAGAGGTCTCGATCTAGACTGACTGTATTCAGACGGGCCGTGTCCCTCGCCGGTGCGCCGGTCACGTGACCGTCCCGGCCTCGGGCTCGGTCAGCTGGCGGCTGGTGGCCCGGCGGCCGGGACGCGGCGACCCACAACGCCACAGTCCTTGACGTGTATATGTTTTGTTACTGGGGACTATCACTTTGTCCCCGTTGTCCTGTGCTTCGCTCAGTTCCTGTTCTTCCTATGCATTGTGCACTCAGTCTTCTATGTATCAGCCAGCCAGTCCCCTTCTCTCATGTGCCGGTAGCTTCCGTTCCGACCTGTATTACTCATTCCCCGTTCTGTGTATCGTTCAGTCCCTGTTTTATCGTGTATTGCCCAATCCCCGTTCTCCCGTGTGTCGCTCAGTCCCCATTCTGATATGCATCGCTCAGTCCCGGTTCTGTGTATCGTTCAGTCCCAGTTCTTGCGTATATGTATTGTCAGTGTTCTTTGGTCGTCCTCACCTCTATCGCTGAGTCCCCGCTCTCCCGACAGGAGGAGGTGCGTCAGTTCGAGCAGACGTTTGCCGACCACTCTCATACGGCCAGTGTGCGCGCCGTAGCCTGCCGCGGTGACCTGCTGGCCTCTGGAGGCGCCGATGAGATCGTCAAACTGTACGACATGCGCCGCAGGGTGGAGAGCGGTCAGCTGATGGATCACCAGGGTGTGTAAGGCGCCGGGGGCGGCGGGCAGGCGCTGGGGTACATTAAAACTTACGTCAAATGGGGGTCTGTTTCCTCGCTGATATTACCTGTGTCTTTTAGATGTTTTGTGTTGATTCGTGCACCCCACGTTCGCCGATTCTGAACCTTCAGACGGTCTTATGAGTCAGAAACCATTGCCGGTGTGGGGTTGTCTCATTGCGCTCTGTATTTGCGTCCAGTGTAGACCTCTGCCTCGGATCATTGTCGCCGCCAGACACCATTACCTGTTTTTTATTTGAGTTTCTCTTATTTCGATTGCAGTCCTCTAACTGCCCCCTCCCCCTCACCTCCCCCAGGCACCATCACGTGTCTCGAGTTCCACGGGCGGCACCACCTGCTCTCGGGATCTGAGGATGGCCGAGTCGCCGTGGTACGCACAGACAACTGGCAGTGTGAAAAGTACCTGGGGCGGCACAAGGGCGGCGTGACCGCACTAGCCGTCCACCCGACCGGCCGTCTGGCTCTCACCGCCGGCAAGGACGGCAAACTGCTCACTTGGGACCTGGTGCGGGGACGCGTGGCGTTCCGCACCAACATCAAGGCTGGTGAGACGGGGCGAGAGGGGATAACAGAGGGATGGGATGGGAGGACCGAGAGGGGTGGGATTTGGGTGGGATGGGAGGACTGATAGGGGTGGAATTGGGAGTACCGGGGGCGGTGAGATGGGCTATAGTTGTGTAAGCTGAGGTGCTGGGGAGACGTCAGGATCGTGTGCAGATGCAATTAGAAATCATCTACTGAAATAATTGCTAAAACTGAACTGCTAATATTATGTCTGACTGCTCTGCCTCTGAGGCTGCCGTTTCGGTCGCCGCTCTTCCAAAAGTTTTCGCTTATTTCCGTAAAACAGTGGTGTCTTACCCGATCTGCTGACGGCGTCCCTTCTGCCGGCAGCGGCCGAGTTCGTACTGTGGTCACCAGATGGCAGTACGTACGCAGTGGGCGTGCAGGGCCGCTGCGATGTCTACAGCGTGGCCTCGGCAGGGGTGCTGTACAGCCTGAAGTCGGCGGGGAGGATTAACTGCGCTGCCTACCTGTCGGTGAGTCCCCCACCGATAGCAGAGTTCCTTCCTCGATTGCCTTCCAGCCTTCATTCGACTGTCTTTCAGCCTCTCAGCAGCGTTGAGCAACGTGCTCGCTTCTTCTTTCGAAAATAAAAAGTAACTTTTAATCACATGCCAGAAAAGACGTAATTGATGGTATTATGTGACTGAAACATGGCTCTTATGGGTCCGTTTCGTATGCATTCACTGATGTCTATCGCGTTGTTCCGATAACGTCCTCACTTCACCCAGTCGCCCCGTGCCTCTGCAGAAGTCGCTGCTGGTCTGTGGTGACGAGAGTGGCCAGGCCACTGTGTTCGACGTCTCGCCGGGTGGCGGCGGCCGCGGCTGCAGCTGGGCCGCCCATCAGGCCCGGCTGCGCGCGCTGGCCGTGATGGCACGCTCCGAGACCCGCTCCTGGATCGTCACAGCTTCCAGCGACGGCTGGTGCAAAGTCTGGGAGGCCGACACGGTGGGTGGTGGTACCTGGCAGGGCTGAGATTAGCTTGCGTCTGGGCTGGCGTTCTCAATGAGCTTGGTTATGGTCACTGGTCGGGCTGGTGAGTGATAGGGTATTTGGTCATGGACTCATAGTCAGTTACTCAGAAAAATTAGATAGCCCGCAACTTTCAAATAAATGTAAATTTCCCTTCAGGCCAATACTGATTTCAATGAAAAACGTCGAAGGTTAAGATGTGTGATTTTCTGAGTGATGCCAATTTATCCTACGCCGCAGTTCGTGAACCAAAATATTTGGGAAGACGTAGAAAAAAAACTGATTGCTTTTGAAACATTTGCTCTGTAGAATGTCGATAGATTTGATCTTACGCCTTTTACGTGCACACAAGATATGACTCATAGTACACGCCCATTGTCCCTTGAACCCCTTCTCAATCTGCCACCCCCTTTTCCCGCTCTCTGACCTGATCGGCCCCTCGCGCTGTGTTACAGTCAGAGTCGGCCTCGCCCGCCGAGCCATCCCCGGTGGCCAGCTACAACACGACCTGCCGGCTCACCAGCGTCACCTTTCACGTGCCGCCCGAAAAGCGGTGGCCGCCGGAGCAGGCAGCTGATCTGGCTGCCGAGGCGGCGGAGCGGGCAGCAGCGGCCGCCGAGCGGGCGGCAGACGCAGCCGAACGGGCCGCGCACAAAGTGGCCAGAGCCGCCGGCGACCCCGGCACATCGGGAACAAAACGAAAACGGAACCGGGAGGGTGGCGGCGAGGAGAAACTGGCGAAGAAACGAGCACGCCACGACGCCAGTGGGAGCGAGAAGAAAGTGAAAAAGGCGGATAAGAAGGCGATGAAAGGTAGCGAGAAGAGCAAAGACACAGCGGAAAAGAAGAAGGGGACTAAAAAGGGTAAAGATAAAGTGAAGAAGAAGGGTCTGAAGGGCATGACGGCGAAACCCAAGAGCATTAAGAAGGTTCAGAAGGCCAACATCAAAGGTCTTAAAGCACTCAGTCTCCAAGGCAAGAAGAAAAAGACTAAAACGAAATCGATGAACGTATTAGAATAATATATGTCTGTGAAAAAGAGGATGTTTACGGAAAGGTAAAGTGGGTGCATTTGTCTTTCTAAGCTTTTTGTGGGAAGTGTTAATGTGATTTGTTTTGGGAACAATCGCAATGTGACAGTAGGACCAAACCTTCCCCCCAAAACAGTTGATCGGTTTTCTGCGGGAAGAACTGAAAGGTAAAAGTGTTGTTTGCGCCGCATATTTCATCGATCTAGGCGGGGGAGAGTCTGCCATCTGAGAAACTGATAGACGTGTCTTACTGCCAGCCTCTGTCTGCCAAACGATGTGCTAATAATCTAAATATTACATTGATGCGATAAGGTCTCTTTCAGTTTTTGTCTATTAAGAACCCGAAATCAAACCAACTTCGACATTTGCCTTAATCTTATCGGTGAACCTATGCAGAAGTGTGTGCCGTAGGCTGGTATGTACCCGTATGCGTAAATCCTACCGGTCGGTGATTTCTGGTGGCATCTGTCCGCCAGGTCGCTGACCAATCCCGCCCTGATATCCGCACCTGGCGCCGCCTCTGGCCGACCCAGAGCTGACCTGACCTGGCGCCGCCACTGGCAGACCCAGCAGCTGATCCGACCCCAGGGCCCAGGCTAAGGTCAGTCGATTTATCCTTAGGGTTACCCGGGTTTACGCAATATTAACTGCACAGCACACCGCGAAATCATAACTATTTTGTGGTTTTCCACATGAAGTCACCTTTTACGGAATCGGTTGTCGCAATGATTCTCAAATGTCTGCCAGCCTTACCTTTAACCGTTGGGTCGTCTTCGGATCTGCCGTTACTGTCGTTGAGTCACGTTTATTGGTGGCATTTCGTTCATGCAGTCTTGACTGTCATGATTTAAAGGGAGAGAGGATAGAACTCGCGACCGTCACCTAGTTTACCAGGGCCGTAACCGACATCACGTGACCGGCCAGCCCTCCGTGCGCCTGAGTCATGCTGACGTCACGTGACACTGGAGACCACTGCGCGAGTGGTCGTCTCAGATGTGTTTATGGTGAGGCATTGGTGTATTTCAAGCGTGCTCCGGCCTCTGCTGTCTGCGCAACGTGACGTGCCAGCTGCCCAGGCCTGCACAGTTTTGCGTGGCTCTCAGAATTTAGCTATGGCTGACGACGAGATTAGGCGGCACGTGGACTGAATTTATAGATACTACAAGTAAAAATAGACAGGTATGGTTCAATGTGGCTATTAAGCTGTGATGTAGTGAAGTCCATGATCTCGGGCTGGAAAGGTGTTGGCTGTGCGCTGCTTTAGCTGAATATTTGTCCTTTCCCTCATAACCTTCGGTTATTTGAAAGCAGTTCGGTATCTTGAAAATATGTATTCCTTTCCAATGTCATTACACACATCTAAAATCCAGATGGACATTATACAAATTGGTCTGCTTGCCTCTCCAAAGGCACTAGAGCCGCAAGTCACAACGTTATCGACATGCATAGGATAAAACACCACAACTCAATCGACTGGTACATTAAACCTCCCACAAAGTCAACGTCCCTTCTGCCCAGAATGGTCGCTCGACTTCCTAAGCTTCCGTGTGTCCCCATTTCCACAGTTCGTCCATACTGATCGCCTTCACAAGTAACTGAAACATGGCTGTTCGTTACACCGCGACACACATTTGAAAGAGCTGATGCGCAATACATTAGCATTGTCGGCGTATTGAAGCGGCAATGTGTATCATTAACACCGGTTTTGTGTGCCGAGACAAGGCATCTCATTCAGAGGTCATGTTGGCTCCAACCATGACGGCCTATCTGTCGTCGTCACATCGGTAAGACAGCGCTTCTGGCGCCCCGTTCCTATGAGCTGGTGTACCGGTCGCCGCTCGCTCAGAAGACGTCCAGGTTCATTCTGGGGATAGCCGCGCTGCTGCACGATGCCTGTCCGTTGGGACCCACCGTCGACTCGACGAACGCCAGTGGCTGCACCCGACTGAAGTCGCCGCCGAACTCTGTGCCCAGCGTGTCGCACATCATGCGCGCCCAGCTGCTCTTACGGATCTCGGCCAACTGCGGCTCGGTGAAGCTGTGATCCATGCCGCCGATGTCGTAGAAGAACCGGTCGCCGTACCGCACGTCAAAGAACTGCTGTCCGATCAGGCACTGGAAGGTGGGGCCGACCTGGGCGCCGCGCGCACGCCGCTCGCTCAGGCCGCCGATGAAGAGGTCGACGTCGCGCGGGTCGTCGTACACGGAGCGCAGGTTTTTGATGGCCTGCTGGTCCATGACGGCGCTGAGCGCGTTCCAGCTGTCGATGGTGATGTCATTACAGGCGCGCAGCACGCTGGTGTACGTCGGAATGCCGTGGTCGCGTCCGCGCTGAATGTTGAGCGCGATCAGATCCAGACCGAACCGGAAGTTTGATGTGAAGAGCTGCTCGTGCACGCTGCTGATGATGTTCGTGTCGAACGTCTCCGGTCGGCGAGCCACCAGTGTGCGCGCGTGCTCGACGAAGCCGTCCGCCACCACCGTCGGGTCGAAGAAGGTCCTGGTTAGGTTCACCGAACGCGTGACGGCGCCCTGCGCGTTGATCAGATGGTACATGTCGCGCAGCAGCGAGTGGCCGAAGCGGAACGCGGCCGTGGCGAACTCGTTGGATGCCGACGCGTCCACAGTGGCGTCGTAGAGCTGCGAGAAGCCGCTCTGCAGCGGTAGCAGGTCGTGGTCGCGCGCGTAGTCGAAGCCGACCACGATCGGCAGCAGTGTCAGAAAAGTGGCCCGTTTCTAAGTTTTCTTGAACTCGGAAGATTTGTTCTGCGAAAAGTCTTGACTAAAGAAAAGCAATTTTTGTTCTGTGAGCAAACGTTCCCTAAACAGATGATTTCTGTGCAACAAAGTACCTCTACCCATCTATGTCAGCATTATCAGGCTTGATGGAGCATTTCACAATGGGTCACTTAATAAAAACCCAACTGCCTACCCATTTTGACTGATTTTTCTTCTTCAGCAGATTAAGTCATCTCTCCAGTCTCCATGGCTACTGAATGAAGACCTGGACTCCTGAATAGAATGCAGTACAAACTACTGACCTCCTCCCAAGAACCAGCACCGCCTGCTACTCTTGGTTCACCAGCTGACAGCTGTTGGCAAAACTTTCACTGGTATTAGATTGATAGATATAACTGGTATTTGATCGGCAGCCTGAAGCCCATCAACTGTGATGTGTTATGAACAGGTGATCTGTGAATTGTGATCACACAGTGTGTGCATTAACAATTAATCCTGTATTTTATAATACAAATGTTGAAAATTTTGTCACTCTTTTAACATCTGGTTCAACACGTATGATATGAATGAAGGACTACACAGCATGCAGGAGCTGGAAATGACAATGCCCCAATGGGTATGCAAACTTAACGTAATCAGGTGAGATAAACCTGAAAAGCTCGATTTCATATCCATATTAGCATGCAGTGCCTACAAAGTAGTGAATGCTTTAAAAAAATTAACTGACAGGCAACAGCAGTTCAAGTTAATAACGTAGTCAGGTGAGATAAACCTGAAAAGCTCAGCTTCATTAATTTACATGTACACTGTTCTGAGAAATGACACATATACCAAGCTAGTGAGTAGTACCTAAATGCTATCAGAAAATTATGGGTACTGGATAAACATATTACCCATAATACATATATCAGCACAACCTATCCTACCTTTAAAATCACATTCTCACACAAATCAAACGAAGGTACCAAACAAATCACAAAAATAACACGCGAGTCATAGGAGACGAGTCATAAGCCTTGGCCTTTTGACGTCTAAAACACTGCCATCGCCGCACCAACAAGCTCGCTCCCCGCCCGGCTCCCTTCATAACGCAACCGGGCGCAAACTTTTTCTGAGTTCTCGCAGAACATATTTGGTGTTTCCGTGGTGGCAGACTATCCCCTGGTAAAAGTTCCCAATTGCAGTAAAGTATGAAAAAATGATATCAGTAGATGTAAAAAAGATTTTTCTTTTCAAAAATGTCAAAATTTAGCAATTTTATAACGTGTGATGCCCATATTTTACGATAGTCTGCGGGGTCGTTCCGTGCCTGCTAAGGTCAGCTTCACTTGGATCGTTTAAGACACCTAGACATCATTCATTGCAAAACAAGGTATGGCTGGAATGGAAATTGATTGGAAAAAGTTATAGAATAGTTTTTGTTTCGTAAAAATGAGCAAAAAAATGCGTATGGGGATAATAAGTGACAGCGTCTTTTGAGGTATCACCTTTTTGGTGCCGGCATAAGAGAACTTGGACGAATTTATGGCAAAATTTTTGTGAATGATATTAAAATGAACAAAATAAACAGTTATTGTCTTTTTGATGCCCTTTTCCCATCTGAATTACACAAAAAATGACTTTTTTATTTTTCTCGAACTCATGGCAGCAAGATATCTTAACTTGTAATAAATCGACCGAAGGCATTATTTTGTGCTGCATATTATTCATTAAATTTTGTATTAAAATAAATTGAACATCAAAATCGTTTTTGTCATTCGGCAATGAACTTAACTAGCAACAAATACTTTTTAAAAAATGAATACATTCTCAGACTTGGCAGCGCTGTCTGGCGCGTATCCCGCGCTTTTACGCGACTGCGCCGGGTTAGTCTCGCAATTTGCGTGAGTTATTGTAAAGAAGTATAATTTCGTGGGGTAATTTAATAGTTAAATGGTTATGTGCATTTTTTCTCGTTTTCATACTCAACAATATGATTTTTGTTTAAAGGCTGAGATACTGAGACTCATTCGACTTCGACCATCTTCGTTCAAGGAATCTGAGGTGGGATTGTTCATGTCTATTTTTGTAACAAGCTCAGGTAATGGTAATACTTAACATAAACCATGTGTTTCAGTTTATCTTAACTTCTCCCTTTCTTGATTATACCTTCACTTCTACCTAGGCTAAGAAAGTGATATCCAAGGGTAGCTGCTTTCACATTAGTAGCCTTCTGGTGGGTACAGATTGTTTTCTTGCATTTAGTTATGATATGTTCTTGGATTTCCCTTGTTAAAATTAGGCAAATGTGAATATTAATATTTATGTAGGTATGCATCATTATACTTGAGCAATGGCAATGTAGACTACCTGCCTATTAAGTAGATACGAGATTGCATGGGCCATGGGGATTCATTAAGCAGGCGTCTCACGAGATGCCAGATCTGAAACATAATCTAACCTGACCTAACCTTACCTACTAGCCTACAACCTACAAGCCTAACACCTACAACCTACAACCTACATTGCTATCGTAGACAGATCTGGCATCTCGTGAGGTGGCTGCTTAATGATTACCATTGCATGTTGGTCATGTGCAGGTGTTTCACTTTGATATGTGCTGCATTTCAACAATCTCTGCCCATTATGCTAAAAAGAAACTGATATAATGCAGTAGCTTCATAAAAAATTTGGAACCATAGCTAAGTTCCAACTTTGTTCTGCGACCTTTTCAAAATTTTAGTCTGCGAACTTAGATCCCCAAACCACTTTTCTGACACTGATCGGCAGCCACTCGTTGTAGACGATGTGCTGCCACTCGGCGATGACGATGCGACGCGCCTCCTGGAAGAGACGCTCGTCGTCCCAGTCGGCGTGCCGCCGGCGCAGCGCTGTCGCCACGCGGTTGTGCTCGCGCGTGAAGAGCGTATGCATGACGGTGAGCGCGCTCTGCTCGTTGACACGCGACTCGCCGCCGCGGAAGCAGACGCGCGCGCTGTCCACGCACGAGTCTCCCTCTTCCTCTTCAATGGGCGCGGGTGTGGGTCGCGCCGTGGTCTGGCCCCGCCGGCCGCCGCGGCCGCCCGGGAACCGGTACCGGTTGGTCAGTGAGATGGGTCGCGGCACGGACGGTGTGCTGGACAGCGGCAGCAGGTTGTCGCGGCTGACAATCAGCAGGCCGTTCTGGAAGGTGCGCAGTCGGTCAGTCTCCTCATCCTGACTACCGTACAGCATGGACGCGTCCAGGTAGGCCGTCAGCTCGTTGATGGGCGTGGCGGGCCGCGCGATACAGTCGGGCTCCGGAGCCGGCAGGGAGCGCACCAGACTCATGCAGCGCTGGCCGAAGCGGCTGTAGAAGGGGTCGTTGGCCGGGATCTCGATGGGGATGCACTGCGGGTGCAGCGGCGTGGTGGGCAGGGTCTGCCCGTCGTTCTGGCAGCACTGGATGGCGCCGCCGTCGGGCAGCTGGAAGATGAGCGCGTGGTTGAAGTCGTGGTCGATGAACTGGCCCCATTGCATCACCGACAGGGTGAAACCGCTCAGCTCGTTAGAGATGGTCTCCACCACACGCTCGCTGATGAGCCGCGCGCTCGGCAGCGGCCGGCCCGTCACACTCGCCCGGCGAGGCTCGAAGATGTTGTCGGCGTAGGTGTTCGCGAGAAGGCGTTTGAAGCCGGTGAGCGCGCGGCCCTGACGCGGCCTATCCAGGTTGTTGCACTCGCCGTTGGCAGTGCGGAACCTGCTCGCCGTGCAGAAGATGGACTCCTCGTTCTCGCAGCCGGGGATGCGCGACGGTCGCGACGGCGAGATGGTGTCGGCGGGCTGCGAGAAGCCGAACCGGTTGGTCAGCTGCACCGTGCTACCGCCGCCCTGCTGGTTGATGGAGCTGAGAGCCAGCAGGTTCTGCAGACCGGTCATGCCCAAATCTTGCTCGGCCCGGTTAGAGCGGAAGTTCAGGTTGAAGATACCAACGGTGGAGCCGCGCGCCGACGTGCCGAGCCGGGTGCCGAGCTGCGTCTGCTCCTGGACGGCGCGCTCGGCGGAGGCGGCTGCTGCGCGCTCGTCGCCACCGGTCACCGTCATGAACGCCTCTGTGACCTGGCGTTCCTCCCCGAGCGGCTGCATGGCGCGCCGGCGGCCGCTGATGCCGTCCCGCGTACCGACGGACGGCGGCGCCCCGAAGATGATCCCTCTGGTGCTGCACATGACGCCCTGCGAGCCGTCCCGCAGGCGACACGTCATCCGCGAGAAGGCCTTGGGGTTGGCCAGCGCGCCTGGACACAGTACCAGCGGTGTGCAGTCGCGCGCCGGCGGCGGTGTAGTTGGCCGCGGCGTGGTCTGCGGACAACAGACGCCGCGCAGGAAGCCACGCACCACGCACGTGCGTACGGGGAACACGGCGAACGCCTGCGGGCACTGCCAGGTGGGCTGACATTGACAGCCTCCCCTCTGAGCGGCGGCGGCGCTCAGCGAGACCGCCAGAAGCAGCAGCAGCTGGAACGGAACAGACGAGACCGGTCAATGATAACGGGGACTGGAGAGTCGAGAGAGAGGACGCACAGATGTCAACGGGAAGATGCCCTCCAGCTGGGCGAGCTCGTGTGTGCTCGTAAGCCAACACAGCCCGTCGAAAGCCAGCTGATCCCTCGGCAAATGCCCACACTGCTACAGACGGCATCACATCATGGATCCAGGACCAACAGTGTCCTACCCTAGAGTAAATCGGGATAGTTGATATCCTGCAATAGACACGTCGCTTTCGCCACAGTCACCTGACGTTGGTCGCTAAGGTACGAGCCCACAGAGGCATTAGCTCCAACCCCCACCAGCCTGTCTGTGTGAATCACCGCTCTCCAACAGTGACGCGGTGTAACTGCGGTCATCAGACCCGCCAGTACTGCGTAAAGCGCCGCACAAACTGGAAATATTCGGTTTGCTTGCTTGGAATATTTACGTGTACGATACGCGCCTATGTCAACTTGAAGCCGTTGCTGAGATTTGTTTCTCCAAAATTATCATGTTTTTAAACAAACCGATGGATGGAAATTGGTGTATCCTGGTGAGGTTGCAGTTTTATGCGCTGACGCTGCTTAGCATCTTTGAGGAATGTTGTGTGATGACAGATTTTTATCATACGCATTAGGCAAAGTTTACGGCTACGGGTGACTGACAATCAGACATGGCTCCGGAAACACGAACTTTTGCAACCGGACCTCCACTTTGAAGTTGACCTGGCCTCATGCATTTACCTTCCTACTGGTTAACCCGTGACCTAAGAATTGCATACCATTCGCGCGTCGCGAGACGGCCAATACGCTCGTTTTAACACGACACTCTCGTTCAACTAGGGACGGAACGGCGACGGGTGAAGGGTGTCGTATCGTCAGCCTCAAGTCTGAATATTCAGCTGTTAGTCTCTATATCTTATTCACTGGTCGAACTGGGCTAAGTTATTCCTGTCCAGACTCGAGACGGAACTATCAAAAGCACTGACAGATAAGATTCATTCATTGCAAATTTAGCAACCAAGTATCGCAAGACCAGGCCCCGTGTCCTACGCAGAAAGCCAGTGATCCTGGGAAGTGCCAACGTTTTACGTCAGCACCCGCGGACTGTCGGCTCATTGAGAGATTCCAGACGATCTGCAGCGTGCCGGTCTGTCGCTGGCTGTCAGTCTGCAGCGGTCTGCATGTCTGTCCTGCTTGTCTGTCTGTCTGCCCGGTCCGTCTGTCTGTACCGTCCCGACTGTCTCGGTTTGTCCGTCGGCCTGTTCTCGTCTGTCTGATCTGTCTGTCTGTCTGTCGGTCTCGGTCTTGGTGTCCTGTCCTTCTTTCTGTCTACCTAACTGTCTGTTCTAGTGTGTCCGACCTGCCTGTCCCGTGGGTCCCGTCTATCTGTCCCGGCGTGACTTTTTTTTTTGTCCGTATGTTCGTCTGTCCGTCCTTCTGTCTGGCTGCCCCCCCCCCCCCCCCAGGCTGTCCGTTCTTTTCCTGTCCGTATGCTCGTCTATCTCTCTCCTGTCTGGCTGGCTGCCCCAGTTTGTCCATCTACTTGTCTGGCTGTCGGACCCCTGTCTATTCTGTGGGCGGTGGGTGCCGTTGATCAGTTTTGTCTGTATGTATGTCCCGTCGGTGCAGTGCATGCCGGAGCCGATCTGTGGCGCGTCTGTCTGTCTGTCTGTGTAGTCTGTTTATTCGGACAGCTGCTGCTCCCTGGAGCTGCAGGACACCATTTGACTGCAATGCTCAACCGGAACAGCTAACCCGGAGGCTGTGTTGTCTGTACCTAAATAGCCGCTAACCCTCGGCTACAACAAAGCCAAGGTTAAGTCAAGAGTAATCAATAATCATTACCCTGCCTATACCAGGGAGAGGTAAGGGGCCGCTGCTCCGCGGTATGTCGGGGTAAGAAGATCGCCGACGAGCCTCAAGTCGTGCAGAGCCCAGCGGTCGGTGTATCTGTTTGACCTTCAGCCCTGGTCAGTCTAGCGTACAGCAGCTGTTTGGGCCAGCGCTTCTGCCCCGGGCCAATCATAATGCATGACAGCATATGATGGGACATCTCTAGTTGCTATTGATCCGGGTTTTAATAAAAACAAAGGCGGGGAAACAAAGCATCCAACTGCGGCTCAAAATAATGCTCAATGCATTGGTATTGGTGCGGCGCCAGTAAAGCTATTGGAATTTAATTGATGAAGTTGAATATTCACGTTTACGAAATCAGTGGTAGTTGATGTCACACAAGACGAACTGTGTATCGCCGGTCCACTGCTAAGATATGGACCACCGATACACAGTGCAATTAAATAATCAATTAAATAAAATACAACTATCCAGTCTATCCTTACTCTGATGGATACCTACCTATATATAGGGTGCACGATAGGATGGGAAAACCTAATACGTGCGAGACGGCAATGGCTAGCATACCTACTGCCATTAAGCCGTTAGAGGCCAGCATAAACGATTCGGACGACTGGGTGATGCGAATGAAAGCATTTTCATTGTAATTTGTACGGTCCATGGAGGTCAAAGCCGGAGCGGTTATAGGGTCCGCCATGGTATAGTTTGGACCATTTGAGACTAACCCAAACTGGTTCGTAGCTTCCACGTTTGTGATATCCAAATTGAAACACGACTGCTTAATCGTCATTGTTTTCAGTGACGCAACTGTGGAAGCTTATTTTAAGTATCCGTTAACTTAATTTGTTCCGCTAAATAACATTGCAAAATCATTTTGGATTTTGGAATGCTTCGAATGTTGCAGGACGAAACTTAACTGTTCTCTTTCATATTAACTGGGTTAAAGATGCCCGTGATGAAGGCACAACAGGGGAATAAAGCAAAACAAGCGCGAAGACAAAGCCTGAACAGGCGAACATTTTCTGGGTGAATGGGCCAGTCGCGACTGACATTTAGCAGCCGGTTGCAGTGATGCGGGTAACCACAGATAGTGCCAGAGGTCAGATCAGACGTTTTTAGTACGGGGCCATTAAACAAGGCAAAGACGGGGGCTGAATTGATGGCTTCTGACCAGCTTGTGCCATTGTTTTTACCGAAAGTTTATTTACAGATATCTGCCTGCAAGGCTGTTGTTGTGAAAGGTCTTAGACGAAAACAAGTTTGGTTCAGACTACTTATAAATTTAAAAAGAAAAACAGTTACAAAGTAAGACTTGACACCGCACAACTAAACTGACATGAAACCTAATGTTTATGCGCTGGCGAATTGCAGGAGATATTTGTAAACGTTTGAATCGGACTGGAAAAGACGAGCTATTCGTAAAAACAAATCATGAAGTCAGGCCTGTGGCGTTGTTGACAGCCATCGTGCTCACGTTGTCAATCATCGTATAAGGCGGATCCATATAGGTGGTCTCGAATGCTGCGGGGCGTACGCCCAAAAAGTCAAAATTCCAAAAAAAACCTGCAGGGTTCGATTCCTTGTGGACTACTGTGCAGTTTAAAGCAAACTTTTCTTGATAAAAGCTGTCTAGCTTTCTTTCTAGTTTCTACTCTAGAAAAACAGTATATTTTTATCGATTTCGAGCGCTGCGAGGGGGCATTTGCCCCAAAGCCCCCCCCCCCCCGTAGATTCGCCAGTGTCAACCATACCACCATTCCCCAACCATACCACCCAGCACGGGTAGACTTACCTTCGGAATGTGTTTGGTCTGCATGGTGACTCGGCGTCTGTCTGTCTGTCTCGGACCTCCCACTGTCTCTGTGTCGATGTCGGCGGTAGGGCCCGTCTCCGGCCGCCGTGCGGTGCGGTGCTGCGGACCGCCCTGTTCCCCGTCCACCCGCGGCTCGCGCAGCGACTATCTGCCGCCCGCTTCTCCCGGACGCTGTGTTACCCGCCGGCCGGCACGCTGTATTTATGCACGGCCTCTGCGGCCCGCACCGACACAGGGGCCCGCCGTGATGTCAGCAGATCACTCCGCCGCTGCTGTTGGGCCTTTCCGACCCGGTCGTTCACAGAAGTCGCCCGCAGACGCCGCCGTCCCCTCCCCGCTCCAGTACGCACACTGGACGGGCAGACAATCACATTGGTGGTTCCCCGCCTCGCAGGAGGTCGGACGCTCCTGTCGCGACGAATCCGGCGAACTGACGGCGCCTGCCGGCGCCGCGGTGGAACTATTCTGAGCACCAAGTCGATTACCTCACTGAGTTCCGCTCATCATGGCGAGAGAAATAGCTTCTGAGTAGGTAGTATTTTTTGTTAGGGATGGCCTTTTATCGCTTGTCATCATCAGGCGCATTGCATGTTAAAGGTAGTTTTTGTTTGGGAAAGGTCAATTTAGGACGTTGACCTCAGGTCAGGGTATGGTCAGGGCCATGCCACGGGCCATCTCAGGTCATGAACCTGGTCGAAGGATGTCATGTCGCATATCATTTGGCTTGGTAGATCTTTCTTAAAGCATTTCGGTGGCTTTCCCGACTCACTTGCCCGATTTGATCAGCGAGTTATTGACGAAGAACTCTGATGCTATTAGTTACGTCATATACCTACGACAACACGCAATGACAACAATCCAAAAATGAATCATCTTGGGCATGTGCATCTTTTGCATGTGGGCGCCCCTATAGGCCTCCCAGGCGCCCCTCTTCCTGCTCAGTGCTCTTCATCTCCAAACCCATGGCGTTCACTTCCCATGGGCGATGCACCCCCTCCCCTCCCCCCGAGTCATGGTGTTCATTGTGAGTTGTGACAGTTTGTCCTCGCCACTTTGCTGAGCGTGGTGACGCCCCTGTTTGTATCAGTCAAATCAAGAACATCTTCAATATCTGAACCACTCAATTAACGAAGCACTAGTTGGTGATTACGGTGGTGTTAGTGATGCAGTGTCTGCAGTGATGGTGATGGTGATGATGGTAACGATGTTGATGCATGTTTTGACCCGCGCCGGTGGGACCTATTCATATCGCGACCTGGTGTGTGGGGGGGGGGGCTATTTTTTGCCCCATCGTATCTCCGAAATTACTGGACGCATCCGCAAAATTTAAACGGCGTTCGAAAGCCCTGGCCAATTTGTCGAAGGAAATCAAATTTCATTGACCTCGGGGTCACCGATGACGTCACAGGTCAGGTCAAAGATAAAATGTTTTACCGGTCACGGGTCTTCTAGGGAATGCGCTATAGCATCGAGTAAAATGCATGTTATCGAAAATTAGCGATAGGGCGTCAGTTGCCTAGTACATACCTATGTTGCTTTTAGAGGTCACTGATAATACCAGGTCAGGTCACAGGTCAGGTCACCAAGGGTTAGCACTCAGCACATGAACCCAATTTTACTAGGGCTGTGTGATGCATGTTTTATGGCCAATTTTTCATTTCAAACTCAATGGTGTTGATTATAAGACTGTCAGGAGCAGTTTAGGTCACTTCCTGGTGGAAGTCAGGTAAAAAAAGGTCAAATTTCTAAGTTAATATTTTTGCATAAAATGGGTATTGATTCGATGCAGCTCGTCACGGCGAGTCTAATGGTGGTCTTTGTTTTGCGCTACGTGGTCTAGAAATTAGAATTGCTAAAAATTGAGTTTGAAAATTTGACTTCATCAATTTTGAACAATTTTTCGCTATAACTTGGCAAAAAAAGAGGTATCGATCTAAAATTTGGTATTTGAATAGAAGTCGGTAGGGGCTATCAAATATGTTCCGTTTTTTAACGATTTTTTTTATTTTTTGGCAATTACATTCAAAAATATTTAATTTTTTTATTTTGGGGGGTCAAAATTCGAAAAGTTCAAAATTTCGAGATAGCACTTTTGTAGCCGTAATAATTTTACACCTTTTATGTCCGAGCGTTTTTCTGTATCTTCAAAGCTATATGCCTAACTGCTCTTCCCGCGAAACTTTTTTTTCTAAAACGGCAGAACATGACGTCACTCTAACGTCGTTTGCGGGCAACCTATCATAGCCTTTGGAAATATTTCTGATCACAATGTGTAAAATTGATGCTCGGGAGGGTACTGAAAGTTTGGTGACGATGATCGGCGCAGCGGTTCTGTAGATATACCGAAAAGTCTGGAGGGGGGCAAAAAATAGCCCTCCCCCACCAGGGTGTGGGGGGTAAAGGCACCAAGGATGCCTTCTTTTGCTTGTGTCACTTTTTCTTTTAATCAACACCGGTTTTTGGCACCGAAAGTGCATAAATGTGTTCCAATGTTCCAACGCTCACAGAGAGTCTAAAGGCTTCCGCTTTCATTGACACCCTGGCAGTGTCCAGTCAGGCGAAGCAGCAACCGACCTGGATCGATAACACATCGTCGCCCTCTATTCATGCGAGTTGAGCTCAGCCGTTCTTGTTGGCAAACGGGCCCACACGTTAGCGAATACAGGGCGGCGCGGTGTTTGTCGAGATGTCATTGGGAAGTGGAGCTTAAATGCCGCCCTTGAATGAGGAGCAACAAAGAAGGGCTATGGAAAACGTGCTTTAACCCCCGCACCGACGGGGATCTGCGCCCATTTCCCAACAACGGGGGAGGGGGGGGGGTTGATACTTCCCTCCCACTGGGATCTCGAAAATGAAGCAATCTAGCGACAAGGGGTAAACGGCATTGGATGCAGGCGGACGAGGTGCAATTTTTACTGAATTTATTTTCGTTTCAGGTCAAAATGACGTCTTTGGGGTCAAAATAGGCAAAATAACTAGTGTCGCTAAAGGTTAATAGTATTTTTCTTGCGAATAACTTTTTAACAAAGCAAGCTGGACCAAAACTAATAGTGCTTACCATCGTAATCCCCTCGTCAATCCTCGTCATAGCAGTATATATTTGTTTGCCTCGAAACGTCAAAGTCAAATGTTGACCTCATGTCATGTGACCTCAAGATCAGAACGCATATCATTTGGTGCGTCTTACGAGCTCAACACAATAAGACCCAATAAGACCCTTCGCGAGGCTGTATATTACAGGGCTGCGGAATCGATGGATTTTAGGGTGACTCCGACTCCGACTATGGTTTCAAAAATCGACTCCGGCTCCGACTCCAACTCCGACTCCGACTCCGGCCGGTTCTGTTAAAATCCATGCCATGATATTGTAGTTCATAATAGAGATGTTTTAATCTTTCCTGTAACGATTCCTTGTGTGTTCTATCTAAGGCATAGGCGGCGGAACGGGTGGGGGGGGAAGTCGGCACTGCCCCCCGTAATTGAAGGTGTTCCGCCGCTACTGTTCCAAGACTTATCGTTGCCAATACGCATTAAAAATAACATGCAGAATTAAAAAGCAGGTTTAAGGGAATTCACCGCCTTCTGCTTCTTTCGCTGAAAACGTTCGTCTAAGACAGCAAGATTGCCTTTTTTCGACAAAATCTGATTTCGAGCGCAGTATCGTCAATCCAACAGCTGCAGTGCATAACGTTGAGCCATGCAGCGTTAACCCCGACTCCGGAGTCGGAGTCGGTAGTTTTTTTTTGGCGACCCCGACTCCGACTCCGGGCAGGACGGTCGACTCTAACAGACTCCAACTCTGACTCCGACTCCGCAGCGCTGGCTTTTTCCTGTAAGGAGTTGTTACCAAAAACACTCTGGTGACCTTTGATGACGTCACGTGACCTTACATTCATTGATTAGTCAACATTGTGTCTAGGTAGTCAAGGTTAGTCGTGAATGACGTCATTCATATTAGAATTGGCCACAACAACGGATATTTGTGAAAAATGAGATAGTTTTCCCCCATTGAATTATAATGGGGAGGTCAAGATATTCGTGAAGATATTAACCTGACCTTTATGCATTGATAGGAAAAAAGAATCCGAGACAAATATGTTGCACTTTGCAGGTACCCACAGTTAGGTATATCCTACAACTTCCAAAACGCTAGGTAATTTACTATGGAGTATGGATCTGACACGGTGGCAATGTTGCAAAAACGTGATTTGAGGTTGGGTCATTCAAAGTGACTTTGGAGGTTATAACTTGCACAAAATGTATGAAATTGAAAAAGGAATAGATATGCTAAATTTCGCGGTGACCCCCACCCCTGGCCCGGGACGTACTATTGTGTAGAAAACCATTAGGTCCAGCAAGAGTTAAGTGACAAGCAAAATAGCAATAGACGTTAATTTTCCACGTTCAGTGCATGCGCCGGCGCGTCACTCTGCATGGGCTTAGTTTGTTTGCTCCTCAACCCAAAAGGACGCGTGTTTGGCGTGTTTGGCCGGACGGTGGCGTTTGGCAGTGTAGGCATTCAATATGGATAGCCACAAGCCCACGCCTTATAGTGAATGAGTTCTTGGTCAAATTCAAGAACAAGCATGGCAGCGGGCGCGCCACGTCATGCATGAACAGCTTGGACCTTCCAACACGCTGTTTGCTAGCTTTGTGCCCTCTGCCTGGCCGTCGCGATCCTACTCTTTGAGTGCTGTCAAGCGAGACAAGTCGCAAATGTGACAGCCATCGACCTGTTGGTGTGTAACGATGTCGACATGCTAATGCTTCGACACTCCCATGGAGACTTCGACTGTTTGCTCTCTTTTCAATGGACCAAACATTTGCGCCCACTGGGCAGTACACAAAAGAGTTATGTGGTTTCGGTCAGCCTCCTACAGCGAAGGTGACCGGACCAGGCGACTGTGGGTGCAGACCACAGGAAGAGCGGGAGGCGAACACCGGTGCTGGCGCTACCTCATCCAGGAACCCCAGGCTACCCCAGCCGTTTGGTGTTTTATCAAACCAATTGAAACCTTGAATCTACGACTATTGTCATTGAGCCTAGCGAGTTGCCTGGCTCAACACCAATCAGCGGCGGAGAACTTCGGAGAGCAAAGCTTAGTCCGTAAAGGATACCAACGTCAAAGAAACGGCCTCATTTCAACATCCAGCTGTTGTCTCATCTTTCCAACGGTCTGAAGGAGTGTGTGCAT